GCCAACCTTTCAGAATGAGAGGCCTTTGCTAACTCCCCTTGTATGAGGGAGGTGTGGGAGAGCAGAAGAAGCAAAAAAGATTGAAGGCCACATCAATCCTTAAAGTCTGGGAGTGGAAGGCAGAGAGAGAGAAAGGAACCACTAAGGATCACCTCCAGTAAGCAACTGTCAGTGCCCCAGCAGGACTCTAGGGCATGGAGCACACAGACTACTCTACCTCCTCAAGAGATGCCAAACCCAAAATTACTGCATTTTCTAAAATGAATGAACTAAAATGGAATGTACTTGAGGTAAAAAGAAGATCATGGATGAGGGAGATAGGACACTGAAGGCAACTCAGATTCCTTCTACAATTTGATTTAGAGCCACCTGTCAATCACTCTCCTATACCATGAGCTCTCACTTACTGAGAGCTTAACAATGTGCCAAGTCTTGTGTTTTATGCTAATGGTTCATTTCATTTAAATCCTCATGCTACTCTAGCATTACCACCACATTACAGACAGACAAGGGCATAAGAAGGTTAAGTTTACACAAACTTCAAAGCCTGGACACAGCCCCATTTGCTGGACCTTGAAGGTCAGGCTCCTGGATCAGCAACTTTTGCTGCCTCTCCTGTGCTTGGGCTTACCTGCCACACAGTGGGGAAAAAAAAAAAAAAACTTGTAGGAGACATTTTCCTTTCAACAATAATTTGCTCTCAGCACAATATGCTGTTTATAAAATGTGGGAAAATCCAGTGAAGAAGGGCCTTTTGGGGATCCAAGTACTCTAAAGGGAATCTCACCATCCAAAGAGGCAGAACAACCAAGAACTGTTCTCCATGGAGTCACAAGGAGGGTGAAAAAACCAGGCAATATATTAAATGCAATAATATTAAATTAATATTAATAAAATCAAATAAAATCTAGAAAACACACCCCCAAAACTGCTCTATTATTTATAAGATGAAGTATACATCCCTAGCCTGAGTCAGTACTCCTGGCATTACATGAAGCCAAGCAGTCTCCTGACCCTGGGACCATCCCAGTGTACAACTCCAGGGCTATGAAGAAGCACCCCTCCTGTACAAAGCACCCCTTTAAACTTCTCAATTGTCCCTTGCCTTCTCACCTTTCTCCTTTAAACTCCTTCCCCCCTCTTCTTTAAAATATGCTGTAAGAGGCTAGGGTTGTGGCTCAGCAGTATAATGCTTGTCTAGCACGTGCAAGGCCCTGGGTTCGATCCTCAGCACAACATAACATCAATAAATAAAATAAAGGTATTGTGTCAAACTACAACTATAAATAAATATTTTTTTAAAATAAAGTATGCTTTAAGGACTACTTGTGACTACATTTAAAAAAAGACAAGGGAAGCCCAGTGCAGTGGCACATGCCTATAATCCAAGAGACTCAGGAGGCTGAGGCAGGAGGATTGCAAGCTCAAGACCAGCCTCAACAATTTAGCAACACTGTCTCAAATTTTTTAAAAAAGGAAAAGGGCTGGGGATGTAGGTTAGTGGTAAAGCACCCCTAGGTTCAATTCTTAATACCAAAAAAATAAAATAAACAGACAAGATATAGAATACACACAAAAATATTCGGATTTTATCTGAATGGTTTTATTCCCGATTTCTTCTCTTTATTCATCAATAACTCTTTCATTTTTATTAATTAATTTTTCATGGCCAGACTTTCCCTTAACATTTATATAATATGATTCTATTTTTATTAAACTCTTCAAATAACTACTTTCCACTAATTGAAAGGAATGCCGCTGGGTAAGAAAGACATGGGACTTACCCTCCCTTCCCTGTTGTCCCTGAATAAGTATTTCTCATGAAGATATAAGAAAACCAACAGAGAAATATTTTCCTAATATTAAGATTCTTAACCAAAATTCACCTTCATACTTTTTAATCTCCCACTAATTGGATGACTGCTAATGGCCACCTAAAACAAAAGTGGGTTTCTTTTCTTTTTTTTTTTTTTTCTTTTTGGTACCAGGGATTGAACTCAGGAGTACTCGACCACTGAGCCACATACCCAGCCCTATTTTGTATTTTATTTAGAGACAGAATCTCACTGAGTTGCTTAGTGCCTCAGGATTGCTGAGGCCGGTTTTGAACTCTGGATTCTCCTGTCTCAGCCTCCCAGGCTGCTGGGATTACAGGTCTGCACCACCGTGCCCAGAATCAAGATTTCTTTTAGTGAGATGTGGCTGATTACTCACTCAGTAGAACATTCTTCTCAACAACTCTCAGGTCAAACATGGAAAAGATCACATCATGACTAAACTGTCTCTGATTAACTAATTAAAAAAAAAATTTAAAAAAAACCCTTAACACCCAGTGTCCTACCATGTTTGGAAATATTAAATTATTTCTCTTCTCTTTAGGATTAATAATGCAACAACTTCTAGATAAAAGAATAAAAGATTAAAAGGCTATGTTCTGACATTCTGGAGTTCTGTGTAAAAATTTCAGTGTAAAACTCTATGGATTAGAAAAAAGGTCTACTTTGAGCTGACAGTAAAAACAGAATAAGAACGGGAGCCAGTCTAGGGCTGGGATTGTAACTCAGTGATAAAGCACTCATCTCGCATGTGTGAGGCACTGGGTTCAATCTTCAGAATCACATAAAAATAAATGAGTAAAATAAAGGTATACTGTGTCCATCTGAATCTAAAAAAAATTTAAAAATTTTTAAAAACTACACTGTCTAGCTTTCCACTCCCCAAAGTCATTTATTAATTCGATAGAAGGTAATTTTATTTTTATTTGATCTGCTTCATTTTGCTTTTGGTGCTAGGATTGAATCCAAGGAATCATGCATACGACCTGGTGCTCAACTACAGAACTATACCCCTAGCCAACAGTTAAAACTCTCACCTCTAACAGACTCTAAGAAATAAACAAACCAGTTTGATTTGGCAGCAGGTTACACTGGCATCTATCTATTGGCTATTGGATCTAAAATACTATTTTTTTTCAATTCTTACTGTATTACAGCAGAATTAAGTCTTAAATCTTTGAGATCTATCATAAATACACACATGAAGGTTATATATTCTAGGTAAATCCAAATTTGAACCCTTGCTACCTGATTCTACAGGTTGTGTATGACTACTAAATTAACCCTGGAGGGTTGCAGCAAGGAGTAAATGATTTAATGCATGTAATATATTTTACACATAATGTAAGTATTCTTTCCAAGAACATTGATGGGCCCTAAAAATTAGTAATATGGCCTCTGTTCTAAACCACTCAATTGGTATTTTGATATTTTTAACAAAGGCAGTCTCCTTAAATTGAATCATCCAATTCATCCTAAGATGAATGGTCAGTTCAACATGCCTGGTCCATAGTATGTTCATAGTAGGCCCTAAATATATCTGTCTAGTACCTCTAGTACCCATAATGGACCATATTTGCACTTTTACTTCTCTCTGGTGTTCACAGTCAGCAACTGCAACTTGATTACTAACTTGTAAACCTCAAGTAGCTATGCTGTAGAAGATGCAGGGCAATCCTCTATACCCCACCTACCTGTTTAGCCCCCAGCAAGCCACAAATACAAAGACTACTAGACTAGCAGCAGCCACAGAAGCCTATCTTCCTCAAAGAGCTAGCCACCCTAGAGATGAGAAAATCCTGTCGGAGGTTTCAGCTCCAAAGTCCCACACCCCAAACCTTAACCTGCACAGGCTCCATCTCTGTCCTACCTCATGGAAAAGGGTCCGTTTTATACCAGTGCATGGTACATGCAGAATGATACAAAGGTTTGGGAGACGGCAGGTGAATGCTGACATCTTTCATAAGAATTCATGATATATTTCTTCACAAAAGCATCACTAAGCGGGTCTCAAACTTTTATCTCTTGTCAACACACTAGAAGATTTAGCTCCCAGCATTAACAGAAGTTCCCTACAGAAGTGATTCTCAACTGGGGAGTAGGTGACATGCCCTCTCTGAGGGACACTAACAGAATTTGAGAAATGGGTTATGTTGAGTGATGAAAGAGACAGGAACTGACATGTCTCTCAGGTAATACTGACATGCTCCTAAAATAAAAATCACTCTTACAGAAAGTGATTAGATCCTATTACATTACTGGCACCACTCATAAGTTAAATGATAGTTTAGATTAGCACGCCTACAAATCTTATCTAAGAATATAATCACATTTAAAATAATGTTTCTTTGTGAGAAAATTCTTTCAACACAGAAATACTATTTTCAATTTCGTGGCTGTCCATAAAAAAATGGAGGGAAAAAATTGACCAACAGTTAATTGTGAAATTCTAAGAATTTCTTACCTGAGAATTCAGAAAGGCATTAGTGGAGTCCAAAAGCTCCATGAAATGGTATGCAAATTTTGTGCACATGTGTATTTTTCTGCAGAGCTTATATATCAGATTCTCAAAGTGACCCATGGCATACAAATATATCTTCCTTTAAGAACCACAACTATTATTAACTGCCTCACAGGCAGAGAAATGAAGACGTAAGACCAATGCCTGGGTTTACTAAGTGCAAGAAGCAAAACTAGTCTAGACCTGTACTTCTACAATCCAATTCTTTTCTCATCTAACTCTCTGCCAACCACTTAAATCTTATCCCAGAACTTGAATCCTGAGAGAGAGAGAGAGAGAGAGAGAGAGAGAGAGAGAGAGAGAGAGAGAAATCTTACTAGAAATGCAACTTTTTTGTGCTTTAACATATAAATATTTACAGGTTTATTTACTGAAGAGATTTTTTTTTAATCCAGTAATAGTAGGTTTTACTAATGTCACAGAAAGCACTGTAATCAGTGGGTACTTTTCTTCCCACTTCCATCATTACCCATAAGCCACAAACCAAATAATTACAGATCCCTGAAATGCATGTGAAATGCTCTAGAATTTAAATTCTCAAGTTGATACTCAAAAGCTATGCTTCAAACCTATACAATCAATTACTGCCCAAAAAACTGGAGTATGCAAAACAATTCCAAGATATGAAAGAAATAAAAACTGACCTTCATGAGATGCTGATTTATCCATTTTGTAAATGTTTTCTTCTGAACTTTGTCCCGTTCATCTGAAAGATTAAAATAAGGTATAAGGTTGATAAGATCTATGCAAAAGACACTTTGTGATCATGCATATAAATGAAAATAGGATATCCAAGAGATATTGCTCAGTGCATTCAAATTTTCTTATTAAATGTTGGCAACTTTAGGCCATCTGCAAGAAAGCGTTAAAGGGCTATTTGTCAGATGGTCTCTTCAATGTTGTATGTGCCAACATTAGTCCATTACAACTGCCCCTCAGTTGTACAATTCTAACTCCATCACATCCACCAGCACAAAGATGACTCTAAAAATGCTGCCAGCTTCAAGTAAGCCCTTGCACTGAACTTTTCAAAGTATTTTAACACATTCATATCCTATTTGCTCTTTGCAACCATAAGCAGGAGAGTAGATATTGTCATCCCCATTTTACAGAAGAAACCAAGTCTCTGATTTGTCCACAATTATCCAGAAAATGGTTTAAAGTCTTATTAAGGGCTGGGGATATAGCTCAGTTGATAGAGTGCTTTGCCTCACATGCACAAGACCCTGGGTTCAATCCCTAGCATCACAAAAAAAAGTCTTGTTAAAAGGCAAGACCTAGCCTAGCTAGGCACAGTGGTGCATCCCGGTAATCCCAGCAGCTCTGGAGGCTGAAGCAGGAAAATCACAAATTCAAAGCCAGCCTCAGCAATGGCGAGGTGCTAAGCAACTCAGTGAGACCCTGTATCTAAATAAAATATTAAATAGGACTGGGGATGTGGCTCAGTGGTTGAGTGGTGTTGATTTCAATCCCTGGGACCCTCGCTACCCAGCCCCCTCACCCCCCTCACCCTCCTCACCCCCTCACCCCCCTACCCCCGCAAAAGGCAAGACTTAAATTCAGATCCTTTGGCTTGAAGTGGGCTCTGGCTTATTTATGCTACTCCTAGAGTCCCTGTGTTGAAATGTCTGGTAACAAAGAAACACTACAACTAAGTAGACTCACTGAGGAAAGAGATCCTGCCCAGTGCAGAGAAGAGTAAGAGAAGGCTTCTTATGCTTTAGGAAGAAAGAACAATCAAAATACTCTGATACATCAAGTAATTATTTCAAAGGAGAATCAAACTCTTCCAACACTTAGAGCTAACTTGCAAAACTACACTACCCTCTCCCTCCCCACTTCTAGGCAGCACTCCCTACCTTCTGTGTCTTCCCTCCTCCTTCTTGCATCTGGAAATACCCTTCTTTTCCCAGGTCACCTTCTTTCCTGTCCCACTACCATTCAGCTCTTCTCCAACCTTTCCTTGGGGATAAGACAAATCTTGCTCTCCTTCTTTACCTCTTTACCTCTTCATTCTTTATCCCTGAACCTCCTTAAACTGCAGTAGAACTAGGCTTGTTTTGTTGTTGTTGTAATAGTTTTTGTTTGTTTGAAAATGCTTGTCCTGTTTATTAAAGGTATCTATGCTCCCTACAATAACTTAAACATAAGCAAAAATATAAGACAAATTAACTGATATTTATGAGACACAGATCATTAGTATAAGATCAATAATTTATTTAAGATCAACATCTTAATATGCACGTGAGCAAAAGAAGATAGCTAATCCATTTTTTAAAATCTTCTAGGCACAGTTGCTCACAACTTTAATCCCAACTACTTGGGAGACCTAGTTGGGAAGGTTACACATTGAAGCCTGGGCAAAACAGGGAGGGCTTTTCTCAAAAAAGGCGGATGGGGAGGGCTAGACACAGCTAACATTGAAAACCAGAGCTGCAGACATTCCTATCAGCATGTGAATTCTTGGCAGTGCTGCTTTGAAGAAAGTTATCAATGAGTACTGCTCCAAACCAATTTGACAATGTAGATCAAAGACCTTAAAAACATATATACCCTTTTCCAGCAAGTCTACTTCTAGAACATATCCTAAAGTTATAATCATGGAATGTACAAATACAAGTATAAAAATGTAAATCAAAGCATTTAGAATAGCAAAATAAAAGTTTTGGAAAAACATAAATGCTTCATGATAAGGAAACTGTTGAAGAAACTTTAGTAAAACAATCCAATCATTTGTCCAATATTTTACAAAGCTATTCAAAGATGGCATGTTGCTGTTTTCCTCCATTTTAATGCCAACATGCAGCTTGTAATTTCATAAGCCTTTCTGCAAAGTATCCCCTTGAAACCCTTCCATTTCCTATCACTGTCAGAGAGAAACAAAAAGATAACCTAAATATAACCTATTATTTGATTCTGCTTGTAACAAACACTTTTTCAGTAACCAACCATCTAGTCTTCTTCTTTACTTATTATCTAATATTACAAAATTGGAGAGGGAGTTTCAGAAAGCAGATCCAGAGGTGGAAGCTTGCTATTTCTGAATATAAATGCTTCAAATTTATGCCAAAATTGTTATATTTGCCTGAATCCAAATGAAAATCTCAATAAAAATAACTACTATGACAACAATGATATTGATAATTGTTTACTAATATTATCTTCCACAAAATATTTACCAGTTACTCTGTTGGCCCTTTAGAGTACCATCTACAGTTTCTTCTTTTCTACTATATACTAAATGCCACAATGTTTTTATGTGCTCCAATAAAAGATACCCATGATATGAATTATGCTTCAGAAAGGGCATAATTCAACTCAGGAAAACAATGCAGAATTACTTGTATTTGTAACACGGTAGCTTATAAGGCTACATATCTTGAAGTAATAATGGTGTCTTAAATGTCTATTAGCCTTGCTATTCCTAAAAAGTTCAGAAAGAATCTCAATTATAAGCAAAAATATAAATATAACATAGGTTCCAGCACATTAGACAAGAACAAAGCAAGAGGAAAAGATCTACCAATCTACCTCACTGATAAATGCAGATTTACTTCCCTCATTTTCTCACTCATTCATTCTAAGCTTTCATCAGGTCCTTTGATGAGCCCAGTGCCATGGTGGTACTGGAACCACCAGGCTGAAGAGGAACAGCATTGGCCAGGACCTCTGAAGGTCATCACCTGGAAGAACCTCTTACAGGAAGGCAGTGTGACACACACTCCAACTGAGAAAAGGACACAGCCCTCACCACATAGGTAAGCATGAAAGGGAAGAAGGTCCAGGGCACAGGGGCAGGGCTTGAAGGAGAGAAAGCAGTTTAGCCAGACACCCCTGTACAGATTTCTCCACCAAAGTTCTATGATCCCTTCTGCAGTTGCTTCCAACAACTTGGGCTGCAACAGTACCCAAAGACACCGTCATCTTTCAACCAGACGTGCTGAACACACCTCACTCACACACAAGGAACTGGAATATGGCCTGCTATGTGAAGTGAACTTTGGACAAGTGATTGCAAACAATGGAAGCTATGTGCCAGACTAGCACTCATATCACAATCCCAGCAGTACTTTTCTATGCCTTCAGCAAAAAGGAAACAGAAACAAGAAAAAGCTATTTCTTAGGTAGTAGTCATATTATTCCCATACAATTAACAATCTAGAACCCTAAGGTGAAATCCTCAGGGAGGAAAAAGGTCATTAAAATATTTAATAAAAAATCTTTTTAAGTCAAGAATAAACAACTTCCATATCAAGTTATGATTAAGATATTCCTGTAACTGCCCTCCAGTTTTTTTATTCATTTATTTATTTTTATGCAGTGCTAAGGATTGAACCCAGTGTCTCACACATGCTATGCAAGCGTTTTGCCACTGAGCTACAACCCCAGTCCCCAAATTTTTATTAATTTATTTAACCATTACATAATAAAGTGAGCTTTTACAAACATATTCCATTCCATTAAACTTAATATACCATATATATTATATGAACTCTACCTTCTTGAGTACAAAATAGTTATTTTTTATTATTTTCCAAGTTAATAAAAACCAGGACTATATTTTAAGGAACATGAAGAAGCAGAGCATAGGTTCTAAAGATGGACAGGCTAATTTCTGACCCATGTGGTATATCAAGAAAGATGATTTAATCAAATTATTTACCTCCCAGCACAGAAGAAAGATTCACTTACATAACAAAACTATAAAAAGTTCTTTTGATTTGATGTTTTGATGTGGTTGTTGTTGCTAGAGGTTCAAAAAGCACTGCTGAAAACTGAGATGATGCGAACCACGTGGCAGGCAACAGGTAATACTGGGAATTACTATCCACAATTAAAGCACATGATCCAGGTACAAAGACTGAGTTAACACACACATACCACAATGTAGCAGCAAATCCTGTTATTGTTTTCTGACAGTAAAAACCTAAACCTTGTCTTTTAAATCTGATAAGCCAGATGAGTGTCATTCAAGAACCAGGGGAGGCTCTATAACACTAGAATGTCACTGTACCTCACAACAATGTGAGAAGAATTAAGGTGGACTTTCAGGTTTTTGGCTTTCCTCATGAGACCAATTTAGAATCAGGGAAAAGATTAACCCTGGGAGGATTCTGTGATTTTACCACTTTCCATAAGCATTATTTCAAAAGGGAGTAGGCTAGATTACACCATCTAATTTTCCTATTACAAGTCTCACAGTGAGTCTTTATTTCTTTTCAGTCAGGGATGTCTTAACACTAAGATTGATATTTAGGGCAAGGCTGCTGCTATGACAGCAAAACAGGGAAAGTTATCCCTGAGCTCTTAACCAATTCCACTGGTTTTTCAGATTCTCCATTTATTATTATGAAGTTTTATAACATTCCTGTTTGAAAACCTGTCATTTGTACAGTAAGTTTTAAATGAACACATACATTTATACTGACCTTTTAAGTTCATTATAGCTGAAAATATATAACAATACTGAATGCAAACAATGAATTTAGGGAGAAAAGAATATAAATATGTATATAAATATCTATAAAGAGAACAGATTATTATAACCTACACTTACTATACTTCAACAAAATCCATTCAAAGCTAAATGCACTCAGTATCGCACAACAACAAATATTGATATTATATAAAGGCATATTTTGTATATAACAACAGAAAGGAAATTCTCTCCAGACAGCCTCAGAAGTTGTCAGGATCCAAACTTCT